TGGACATTGGTGTCAGAAGTGAACTGGCCAAGTTTGCCGACGACATCAAACTCTGGGGTAAAGCATCCACACCTGAGGACAGGAGGGTGATCCAGGCAGATCTTGACAGGCTCATGAAATGGGCAGATGAGAACTTGGTGGTGTTTAACACCGAAAAATGCAAGGTTCTCCACCTTGGGAGGAAAAAGCTGCAGCATCCTTATAGGCTTGGCAGTGCTATGCTGGTTAGCACTACAGATGAAAGGGACTTGGGGGTCATGATTGACCACAAGATGAACACGAGCCTTCAATATGATACTGTGGCTAGTAAAGCGAGCAAAATGCTGGCTTGCATCCATAGCTGTTTCTCAAGCAAATCCCAGGACATCATTTTCCCGTTGTACTCAGGCTTAGTGAGGCCACAGCTGGAGTACTGCATCCAGTTTTGGGCTCCACAATTCAAAAAGGATGTGGAGAAGCTTGAGCGAGTCCAGAGGAGAGCCACGCACATGATCAGAGGTCAGAAAAACAGACCTTATGATGAGACGCTGAGAGCCATGGGAGTCTTCAGCCTAGAAAAGTGCAGGCTCAGGGGTGATCTGGTGGCCAGTTATAAGTTTATCAGGGGTGCTCATCGGGATCTGGGGAAACATCTGTTCACTAGAGCACCCCAAGAGATGACAAGATCGAACAGTCACAAACTCCTCCATGACTGATTCAGACTGGACATAAGGAAGAGCTTCTTTACTGTCCAAGCCCCCATAGACTGCCACTGGAGGCAGTTCAAGCACCCACTTGGAACGCCTTCAAGACACATTTGGATGCTTAGCTTTCTGGGAACCTATAATCCCTTCTGACTTCCTTCCCATGGGGCAGGGGGCTGGACTCAATGATCCTCCGGGGTCCCTTCCAGCTCAAACGTCTATGAAATCATTGAAATACATAATAGCATGACTGTTTTCACCTATGGAGTTTGCTACAAGATCTGTCTTCTCTCCTTTGCCTTTAAGAAGCTAGGTGATGTGTTGGGGTAATTAATAGCAGAAAAAAACCTTGGTGGAAAGTTTTTTGAGAAGTTAGTTAATTTTTGCTCTATTTATTTTGCTACTGGGATTTTTGTATTTGATCTTGGACTGATTGTTAGATTTGCTTCTTTTTTTCTTTAAATGATTGTCAGGGTCATCCAGAACATTAGACAGGTGTTCTCTTGTTATAGAAGAGTAGCCTCTGAATAGAGAAGGAAATTAAGAAACTGGAACAAATGTTGTTCTTGGTTATAGCCACATGCCTCTGTGGATCTCCATGTACAAATCTACAAATGTAGAGAGCAGGATTTGATCTTGCATACCACAACTATTTTCAAATACATGGTGTCTTTGTTCTGCAGTTTGTGGTGGAACCCTCATGAAACCTGAAGGAGGGAATTTTACTTCTCCAGGTTATGATGGCATCCAAAATTACACAAGTAACTTGAACTGTGAGTGGACCATTGAAAATCCATCCCATTACAATTCATCCACATATATCTTCTTTGCATCTTTCCACTTGGAACAGCACCAGGACTGCCAGTTTGATTACCTAGAGCTACGAATAGGTATGTATGGTCAACAGCAGCAAAAGAATGAATTAAAAAGTTTGAGACATTTGTTGCCTTAATTACAGCAATCCTTCAAAAAGTGGCCAGTATTTGATGTGGCACTAAATGGCATAACAGAGGTTTAACAATATAAGGCACACATGGTCACAGGGTTAACATACCAATATTACTTGAGAGACAAGAATTTCTTGGAGTGATATCTTTTATTGGACCGTGTAGTAGAGTTAGAAAAACTTTTGAATACAAAACATTCTTCATCAGGTCTCTGATGAAGAATGCCTTACATTTTAAAGATTGTCTAACTCTACTACACACAATTTCTGGACCATCACTCCTACAACATTTCTCTTACATTACAGTATTACCTGTGCAAGTGAGAGCATTAGGTATAAATCCTCTGCAGGAACAAACAACTGGAACTGTCGTATTAAAAATGGCTCTGCCAGTACTGACTACAGTACAAAAGCACCAAATGCCTTGTCTAGGAAACATAGGACCTGATTTACTACTTCTTTACTCCAGTTTTATTCCTGTACCAAAGCCAATGACATTAAACCAATAAAAAACTGGAGGAGTGTTTTTGAGTTCTGTTAGCACTAACTAATGTGTAGTTTGTCTAATATATGAGCATTCTCTGCCCATGCCTTCTTTGGGATGTCTCACTGTAAGTCATAATGAAAGGTACTGCAGTGCCTCTTTCTTGTAATATTAAAAATGGCTCAACTGGTATTGACTACAGTATGAAAACACTGTACCTCTTTGCCTTCGGAGGACATATCAGTGAGTCTTAGAAATTTACACTAATTTACAAGAAAATTAGTTTTGAAAGGTGAGCAAAATGAGGGGAGAAATATGTGTCATCACCATCTGCATAGGTGTACACTGGTCTACTGCCTTTTACTCTGAGAATGCAATTTTGGTTCTAGACATGGAGCTGGGAATGCTTAGAAAAACAGCCAAGAAAGAGAAGAATTAAAATAAATCCCTGTGCTCCTGCCCTTTGCTTAAGTACTAACGTTAATTGCCAGTGGCAAGAAAAGTCTTGTGGCATTCTGTGCAGTTTTGGTCCCTAAACAATACCATTCACTTTGGCCAAACTAATGGATTTTTCAATTTCCATAAGACTGGTCTCCTGACAAAGACAGGCTGTTGTAATTCTGCTCCATATGGTGACAAGTCAACATTTAGTAAAGTGCTCATGCTGCAGAAGGTCACTGTATTACGGCAGATAATCCCTGAGGAACTCTACAGGAACAGCCATGAATTTGGGAGACAGCTTTTGTTCAGTAGCAGGACATGGACATTGAATCAAGAGAAGTGGGGGAGTAGTTTCTTGTAATTGTCCATAATGCACATATTATTACAGTTAAAACGGTAGGCAAATTGCTTCCATACACACTGGATATTTACTGGAAAGTGTGGTTAGCCCCCGTAGATAAAACAAATATTTCATTTCAAGCTTTTTAGGGTAAATCTTAATTCTAAAAGGTCAACTGTGGTGGAAGTGGGACTGCTCCTAATGTACACCTAACTTTTAATTTTAAAAGGGAATTCTTTGTTTTTCTGTGATAGTTCCTCGATTTTATTATTTAAAATATGCTCTTGTGTTTGAAATGCAGTCAGCCACATGGGTGATTGTGCTAACTACCCATACATTTTCTTCAAAAATGCTTTGTCTTTCAAAAGAATACATAACAGAATATTGATAAATATTCCCTGGCTCTGGCAGCGTAAGTATTCCTATTAAGCTCTATGGCTCTACAGAAAGTGATGCATACGGAATAAATAGTCATACTTTGAATAATATGTTCTTTCCTTTGTGTTACATTAAAAATAAAGCTTTCTTCATTTGCTCCTCATTTCCTAATTTAACTTACTTCTGGATTGTTTAGATAATAATCAGATAAGATTGACTGGATTTTTTTACTCAGGGGATGCTGACGGAGAGCTAATAGCCAGACTCTGCGGCCAGACAACGCCTACAGTGCCACTAGTGGTAGCTGCTCCTCGGATCTGGGTTCACTTCAGAAGTGATGAACATGTAGAAAACAGAGGATTCTCTGCTTATTACATATTTGAGCGTAAGTGTCATGATAGGCAGTTATTTTCCCTCCCTGCATCTAACTTAAGTCTCCCCTGCTGTAATTTCAGGCCATTATTTTTTGTTCTATTTCCTGTGGACATGAAGAACAATTGATTACCTTCTTCACTGAAGCAACTTTTATATATTTGAAGACTGTTATCATGTCTTTCCTCTTTAGTTTTCTGTAGACTAAGCATGCTCAGTTCTTTCACAAAACATGCTTTTTAGACCTCTAATCATTTTAGTTTTATTCTGCTGAAATATTACTGACATCATAACTGTTTCCCTAACATATGCAGTTCCTCAGATATCAAACCCACTGTCTCCCTTTTATTTCAGCTTGTGGTGGCATACAGACAGGGGAAAATGGAGTTCTCTCTAGTCCTAACTACCCAGAACCTTACAACAATTTTAATCGCTGTTCTTGGTTGCTGGTAGCGCCTGAAGGTCAAACCATCACTGTGAGTAATGCAAAGTACATTCTATAGCAAATTGTGAATGCAGTTAATATAGTGAATACACCATGTGATTCTGTTGGCAAAGTGATTAACATTTTTAATAATATCCAAAAAAAGAGACATATTAAAGAATACTGTCATCATTAATCACATTGAAGGAAGGGGAGATAAAGATAAAGCTGCCTGTAGCCTTAGAGCAGGGGCGGGCAATTATTTCGGGCAGAGGCAAGCTGTCAAGGGCTGCATTGGTAGCTATGCTCCTTGGCAAGTGCTCCACCCCCTGGTTGCCATCTTGAGACTGGAAGTCCCGCCCCCAAACTCTTGACCTTTGCCACCAGAAGTCCTTCCCCTTGCCCCCGGAAATACTCCTTTCACCAAGGGGTTTTGCCATTTCAGAACCAGAAAAATACCAAATTATATTCTAAAATTGAACACTTAGAACGTACATTCATTTGATTTTAAAAAATATTTTTGTCCTCATTTACATGCGTTTGTGTAGTGCACATAGAAGGGATTGCACAATAGCTTAAAATGAAGTCTTAACTCTTGTATATTGTGGGAGGTGAGTATAGGTGTGTGTGGATATGGGGGGTGTGGGTGGGGGGTGGGTATG